CCTGTGTTGGCGTTATTCAATTTGGAAAAATTGAAATTATTGACAATGACCAAGGAGACAAAACTACTCCTTCTTATGTTGCATTTACTGACAATGATTTGCTGGTTGGTGACTGCGCAAAGGAACAATTAGCTTTAAATCCTGGTAACACAGTTTTTGATGCTAAACGACTCATTGGCCGATCATATGATGATGACACTGTACAATCTGACTCAAAACACTGGCCTTTTGAAATTGTTAAAGACAATGGAAAACCAAAAATCAAAGTGGAGTATAAAAGTGAAACTAAATATTATGCTCCTGAAGAAATTTCGTCAATGGTGGTAACAAAAATGAAAGAAGTTGCTGAAGCATATCTTGGAACAACTGTCACCAACGCCGTCGTTACTGTGCCTGCATACTTTACGAATGCTCAAAGATTAGCTACTAAAAACGCTTGCATTGACTCGGGATTAAATTTAATGGGCATGATCAATGAACCGACAGCTGCGGCTCTTGCTTATGGTTTAGAAAAAGTTCAAGGCAAGAAAAATGTTCTTGTTTTTGATTTGGGAGGAGGAACATTTGATGTCACTATTCTCACCATTGAAAACAGCCGTTTTACAGTGTTGTCCACATCGGGAAACACTCATTTGGGCGGAAAAGATTTTGACAATCGTCTGGTAACTTACCTTGTGGAAGAATTTAATCGTAAACATGGAAAAAATTTGTCTGTGGAAAAAAACAAAAGAGTTTTGTGTCTTTTGCAAACTGCCGTTGAGCGAGCAAAACGAACATTATCTAAAGCTTCACAAACTACAATTGTAGTGGCACCGCTTTTTGAAGGAATTGATTTTAAAATTTCCATAACGCGAGCTCGTTTTGAAGAACTTTGCTCTGATTTGTTTCGTTCAACAATAGAACCGGTAAACAAAGCATTAAAAGATGCTAGTTTAAACAAAAGTGAAATAGACGAGATTGTCCTTGTCGGCGGCTCAACTCGGATTCCAAAAGTGCAAAAATTGTTGCAAGAGTTTTTTGACGGAAAAACATTAAACAAATCTATTAATCCTGATGAAGCTGTAGCTAATGGGGCAGCTGTTTTAGGAGGCTGGCTAGCTGGCGACACTTCAATGCCATTATTGCAGAAACTTAGTTTGACTGATGTCACCCCTTTTTCACTTGGTATTGAAGTGAAAAATGAAGAAATGTCAATAGTTATTGATCGCAATACTACAATTCCGNTAGACGAGATTGTCCTTGTCGGCGGCTCAACTCGGATTCCAAAAGTGCAAAAATTGTTGCAAGAGTTTTTTGACGGAAAAACATTAAACAAATCTATTAATCCTGATGAAGCTGTAGCTAATGGGGCAGCTGTTTTAGGAGGCTGGCTAGCTGGCGACACTTCAATGCCATTATTGCAGAAACTTAGTTTGACTGATGTCACCCCTTTTTCACTTGGTATTGAAGTGAAAAATGAAGAAATGTCAATAGTTATTGATCGCAATACTACAATTCCGGTTCAAAAAAACAAAAAATTTTCAACTCAATTTGATAACCAAACAACTGTTACCTTTAATGTGTATGAAGGAGAACATGAATCCACAACAAAAAATAATTTTTTAGGAAAATTTGAAATTTCAGGCATACCACCAGCTCCAGCTGGAGAAGAAAAGTTTGATGTGATTTTTGACATTGACAAAAACGGCATTCTCAACGTTACTGCCGTAAATATAAGCACTAAAAAACAAAATGATATCACCATTACATTGAACTGGAAATAATCTTTCAAAAATGTTTCAAAAACAGTTAAAACAATTTTCAATTTATGTAGTATTTGTAGTTTCAAATTATCAATAAACAAACAAATTAAACTATTTAGTTTGGCCAGTTTCCGAGAACCAGTGCCACCCCCATCTCCGGCCAGCGGGCTTCAGTAGAAGGCGGACAGGGCACGTCAATGCGTTCACTGAGCAGCGTCTGCCGACGGGAGTTGCTGTACAGCGGCAGCGGCACAGTCGCTGAAAAAGAGCTAAAAACAGAAGCTGCTGCTGTCGTACTTGATTTGCCTCCGCCTCCTTTCTGATTCTAGTCAAAAAGTAAAACAAAATTAGCTTATCAATACAAAAAATTCCAAAAAGTTTAGCTCTTACTTTTTTATCCTCCTCCACAAAGACCACATTAACGCTGGGCATCAGTCCGCTGAAGGGCGAGTCGGTGCTGGCAGGCTGAAGGCGGTCACCGGCAAAAAGCGCCCCCTCTAGGCTGATTCCCGACAGCGTGGCCACAGTCATCTTGACGCCTTCTCCTAGTTTCAGCTTCATCCTCAGCGTCGTCTCGTCCTCCTCTGCCGAAGATGAGCCGACCAGTCCGGCGGCGCTGGTCACACTCGATCGTCGACGTCGAGGATCAGCTGGAGATGCATTAGCTGCAGATGACTGTTGACTATTGCCATCAGATTGGGCATTGGTCGATCCTTCATTCCACACGTACACCGTCCGCAGCTGGTCCACACAGGTGGCCAGCTGACGGGCGGCAAACTGTCGCAGGGCGCTGAGGAAGAGCCGAGGATGGAAGCAGGCTGTCAGGTCAAAGGTCAGCTGCTGCTTTCCACTGTTTGAAAGAAGGCTGCTGTTGTTGCTTGCAAAGACCGCCTCTACCGCTTTCAGCTTAATGTAAATCCGCGCCAGCGTGATCAGGTAGTCCTGAGCCGCCTCGGGGCCGTCAGGCCACAGACTGGCCCAACTTGAGGGCGGCTGGTTGAGGCGAAGTTGGCCGTCGAGGTCAGTGGAGGAGGAGGAGGAGGAGTTGTCAGCTGAAGAGTTTACCAAACATTTTCTTTCGCTCTCTTTCAAATCAAAGTCAATCGTCTCCATGATTGTCTTTGCGTAGTCAAGCTGAGAACGGCTGAAGGTTCCCACAAAAGCGCGCCAATTGGCCGCGTGCAGATAGTCAACTGCAGACAAAGTTGTGGAAGAGGTGTTCAGTTTTGTTTGTGATGATCGGCGACTGCTGTTTGGTCCATTTATGCCTCCAAACTGTTGCTGATGCTCCGTCTCATCAACGTCGTCCTCGTCGGCAAACAGTCTCTCTCCGGTTCTGGAGGGACTGACCTTACACTTGACCAGTATCTTTCGCCACAGCTTCTGAAAGTACTCGACGCTGAAACGAGTTGTGGTAGTGGTAGTGTTTACGGTTGAGCTGTTTGAGGAAATTGAAGAGGAGTTTTTCTTTGCTGATGTTGAAGAAGAGGATAAAGAAGAAGAAGAATTTCCGATGGTTGACGCAGCGGCAGTCAACAGTTGCAGGTGTCCCCTCAGGCGATCGTCAATTGTTTTCACCCTTTTATTGTCGGCGTTGAGCGGCAGCCCGAGAAGGGTGAACTCATTAGTGGCTTGAGAGCCCTTCTGTTGCTCCATCAAAAACTTCTCCTCCGGGTCGAAACACCGTCGAAGAATGAGCGCCAGCACAGTGTCGTCCACCACAAAATCGACCTTTCCGCCGTAGATTACATCTCGAAAGAGGCCTCCAATGTAGTCCATCAACAGGGCCTGCTTCTCCTTCGTCGAACTGGCGCCCCGCCCACTGGAGTTGATGAACTTCCGGCCGAGCAGCTTCGCCAGCAGGTGCCGCGCAAAACGGAACTCATTGAAGCTGAACTCGTAGTTCTTTGTCCAGCCGAAAGGCTGGTAGAAGCGGCGTTCACAGACGATAGCGTGAAAGTACTCCAGCAGGGTGAACAGTTGCTCCGAGCCTGTCGTCTCCTCAAAGGTCCTCGTCGAGCTGACCGGTCGAATGACGTTGGCGCCGGTAATGC